TCTGTGAGACATGACATATCTGTTACATTGCATTAGATATTGTGGCCTCAGAGTCGTCAGACACCTTCATTTTCTTTGTAGATTTAGTTTTAAAATCAATTTACATTCAATAGAATAAGTAAAAACCAAATGATGCAAATGTATTAAAAATCCCAAACTGAAAACCCTCATCCTGTTTGCTCTAGTTATCTTTGTGATGCGCCTAGAACTAGACAATTCACGCTGCATGTCAAGACAGAACCACGAACTCTGTGGAACTCTGTGGACCTTCATGATTAAAATTGTGGTGAGGCATAGATCAAGTCAAATCAAAATGTTTTTGGATGGATGAATACTTATATAGCACTTTAAAAAACAACATCTTGATGACCAAGCGATCGCTCTATCGTTTGTATCCAGACCTTGGTACCTATTACATCCTGGCCATAACACCTATATTGGTTTTTATTACCACATGACTAGGAAAAACTGAAACCTTCTAATAAAATGCAGTAACTCCCAGTATTTTTTCTTTTTAAATCAAGACACACACACGCCATGACGAAGACAGGAAAGACCCAGCAACTCTTACTGAATACGGTGAGAAAAGCATCTGCTCTCTTTAACCTCTCAGCAGTTCAGGACTTGTGTCATATCTGACGTATGTCTCACCTCCTTGGGGAAGAGATAATCTCCCACCACAATCTCGTTTTCAACAGTGACACGGGCGTTTCCTGGTACCACTGGATACAGCCTGGTGACCAGAGAACACAGAGACAAGTCTTCACTCGTTTTACTGCACCTCTGGGACGTCGTGTGCAGTTCAGCTTGCAAAGGGAGTTTTGGTGACTCGGGAGTGGTTTTATTGTCTAGCTTGTCTAGGTTTGTGAAACATTTGGTAGAATCTGATCACAATGGGCTCTTCATCTAATGTTTGCTAAGACATTTATCATGTGCTGTCATAATGAGAGGGAGGCTGAACATGTTTGGGTTTTTGGACTGATGGTCAGATAAACAAGACACTGAAGGCATCATAAATGTTAAACTGAATAATCAAAGACATTATACACACCTTTTTCAACAAGTGGAATTATGAGATACATATTGACATTCTGGACTCAGCTGATGTTACGTGTTTCCACCCAGAGCAAACACACTTCAAACAACCAAGCAAACTTCTGTCTACAAGAACCTGCAGTGCCCGCTGATGAAATGTATCGACAAGAATGAAAGAAGCCATCAAACCGTAGCGTCTCTTTGATGACAGCCTTCAGAAACGGCATCTGAGTGATGTCATCGCTGGTTGGCACCTTGTCTCCAGGGCAAACTCTTATCACTTCCTGGTATAACTGTTCTTGGATCTCTGGCTCTTTGGCCAAGTTGTACAGACTCCATGAGATAGTGTTGGAGGTCTGCAACAGAGAGGAGCACAAACTGTGATACATTTGGTTTAAAAGTCAAAGTTATGGCTTTGATATTACTGCAGATGCAACATTTCAGTAGCTATATTTCTATGTGAAGCAGTTCTGAACTACACGTTGACACATTGTGATAAAACCTTATTTTAAATAACTATTACAGTGAGGTCTTGTGTTTGTTACTGACCGAAAAATGCCTTCTTTATGCCAAACCTGACAAAATGCAGTACAAATGGACCAATGTACATTCCTCCCTTCCACATCGTGCACACACACTGCATCTACTCACTGTGTCGACTCCTGCCAGTAGGAGTTCGGTGATACTGCCCAGGATCTCAGTGACCGTCATCTGATCACTGAGCAGCAGGTGTGTCAGGTACGCTCCCTCCACTTTCTGGTCCAGGTGCACCTTCCCCTGGATCTCCTCCATTTTTTTCTGCACCAGCTCTTCAGCTATGTGTGTGTAGGACACAAGAGGAAATTCATGGTTTGCACTTCTCATGGGAGAACCAGAGGAGACTTGCGCTTGCACTTTAGTCCACTAGGTGGTGTCAGGGATGTTGTTGAGACACTGAGGACAGCAGGACCTGAGAAGTGGACTTGGTACTCTTAACGGCCTTGACATTATTTGATAATGCAGCCTGAAAAAAGTCACAGAGTCTATTTTGTAACTTTTTGTGACAACGGTCATGAAGGGGAATGTCAGAGAAAGACTGTCGATGGATCCACAACATTAACATTAACCATAGCTGGAGCCTAAGGGACCTGAGCAGCAGATCAGGCACCACACTACCTACTGTTGTGGTCTTGTACAAGAGGAATAATGAGGGAAAGAAAAAAAAGAGGACACTAGCACAGTGATGTCATTGTCACTGAGTGTGGGGACGATGCCTGGCCTCTTTCTGGAGCCACTGGGCATTACTAGAGAACTGAAAGTTGACCTATACAAAAACTGCTTCACTCATTAATTTCATAAGACTCATTAGCATGTTCCTCCGTAGATAACTGGCCAAATAATCTTAACTATAACCAGTTCTGATACACGCTGCTGAGAAACACAAGATACGGTAAGATCTGTACTCAGAACAAAGCTACAGTCGGTCCTTTACCCCCAGTTTGAACAGTTCTATTTCTACCCTAGGTCTGCAATATTACTGTCAGTGTTAAATACAGGACAGTCCACTGAATTGAGTGCATTCTCTATTTTAACACTGTCACTGAATAATCCACTAAAAGAAAATCTGCATTTATGGAGCAGCCATAAGAAAACACAGTGTACTGGGTTTGAATGTTTTGCTGTCTGATTATCAAATAGCTCTTCTGAAATGGCCAGGATGTGCAAATACAAACTATATACAGTATGTGAGCTTGCCCCACACTGTATAAGTGTTTTGTCTTTCTTCAAAGTGATTTCAGGGATCATTTAACAGAAAACTTTGAATTTACTGTAAATTCAATCCTTTACTAAACAACAGCGTGACTTGCTCCACATAAACCAGCATCATCCTTCTGAAACATGCCGCACACGCTGGTTAAACGAACGCTGCTCACCGACTTTGAAGAGATGATCCCATACTGCCACAAACTGCTTCCAAAAAGGCAGGTAGGGCCAGAGCGACTTGGGGAAGAGGACGAGGACTGGGGAGAGCCGGAACATTTCCCCCACAGAGAAGATGAACTTTTGGGTTTCCTCGGGTATTTTCTCATTCATGCAGCCCATACGGGTCTCAAACAACACTGAACAGATCCCTGCATTTAAAAGGATGACACAGTGACAGTTTGGCTTCTGCAGCCATCGTAGGACAGAGCCCCGTCCTGGAGCATATACACAGCATACACTATGGCCAGATGTATGTGGACACCTAAACATTCAGCCTATGAGTGCTCACTGAATATGACGTACAGTATTTAAGAACTGTCTCTTTGAGCTTGTCATGAGCCACAGCCATGAAAATAATAGGTCATATAATCTATCCAAACTACTGATCACACTTTATGATCACAGAAGGCACTAGGATCAAACCCATAGTTTATCACACATTATCTAATCAGTTGTCAAGGACAAAGATTCAACAACTGTGTCAGTGTCACCAATGTGGCCGATGACACACTCACAGGCTGCTCTGAGTCTCTGCTGCACCCACAGAAAGAACTTGAACAGCTGCAGACAGCTGTTAAGGTCTGCAGCTGTGAAAGAGTCAAGGACAAGTGCAGCAGAGCCGATCGCATTTCCATGACTGTAGTTTAACATATGTAATATGATAATAAAAAATGTAAAGTCCATTCAAAAGTGCTATTAATTTGGAATTAAAACAATGTTACTATCATTTTCATAGCATTCTTGACAATAACTTGATTATCTCAAATTGTACCCATTGTTCAAATGTAATGGTTTAGTTTCTGTCTTTAGTCTTGCTGTGTCCTGTGTTTCTGACTTTGGTAGAAGACAAGCCTCTTCTGTGAAGACAGACAGAAATAACACCCTGCAGAAAATGCTGTGCTTGCTTGATGGACCATACAAGTCATATAAGACTTCTTTAAACAAACAAAGCTACGTACATGTTTCTACTAGCTACTACTGAAGTTATTTTCATAAAGAAAGGTGAGTTTCCACAGTTTCATTTGTTTGGTCTGTGTTGACCTTCAAAAGCAAATTTGTAGAGTTCTCCAGTCAGGTCATTGACCATAACTCCCTGGCCGCTGGTGTCCCTCAGCCACGCCACTCTCTCGATGAAGTCCGTCACCACCTTGTTGACAGTGTTCGAGTAGGAGGAGACGTGTTTTGGTTTCAACATCCTAGGGTTCAGGATGCTGCGGATGCGTAGCCAGTTGGCTCCCATTCTACAGACAATGATTAACAAAAGAACATTCAGTTTCTAAAAAGAAGTTGATTAATGCCCATAAAACTGATTTAACTGATCTAAACTTAAGAGAGTTTAATGTCAATGCAGGGATTGAGAAAGACAGATCTGCATCATCACTAAACACAAGTCAGTTTTCTGTGGACATTAACAATTTTTGACATTCCCATTTTAGTTATTTGTCTGAAAAATTAAATGAAAGGAACAAATCCAACAATGAAGTGATCTGACTAGTAAGTTTTACCTGTTCATCCAAAGCCTGATTCTCCTCAGTACTGTGTTCTGATACAACAGGTCTGACAGGAATGATGGCGTACCGCTGAGCAACCGTTAATCAGTTAAACAAACGTATGCTCCGTGTGCCTGACTGGTGTGACTGGTATTCATCCATACAGCACATTTCATAGCAAGAAGCACACCAAAGCACAAAGAATAAAAACCAGAAAGACAAAGTAATGTATGAACACTAAAAACAATACAAAGTAGAAATAAAGCTTGATTTGTAGAATCAGGTCAAACCATAAAAAATAAAAGGTCTATATTCAGCTGTGCAGGTAAGTAAAGTCTGAGATCAGACCACAAAAATGTTTTTATTCATTTTCTACCGTTTAGTCCCTCTGAACAGGGTCACGGGGGGGGGGGCCAGAGACAATAC